GAAAGGAGAAACAAGGGGGGGGGGGGGGGGGGGAGTGAACAGTAATAACACGTGTGTTATTTGTATTGCCAGCAGCAGCGGGAGCTGCAGTTTTTTATTTGGTTTAGTGTCATAAAGACCGATATATGTATAGCTGAGTAATATGTGTACCCTGCAGAGGCGATAGAGGAGATAGCAAGAGTACTACAGGGGGGGGGGGCGACTTCGCTCAGGTGGATTGGAAGCAAACGTGCCCCGAGGGGAATGTTTGGGTCGGAAAATTCGAAGTGAGGGTCATGGGCAAACACCGAAACAGTTTTTGGTTGACAACAAGCATTCCGGTTTCAATTGAATTATGAGTGTGTGTGCTTGGATGGGCAAGGCCAAACCAAATGGTTGTACGTATCGTATACTTGTTGGTCATTTCGAGCGAGTACCGGCTTCACGTAAATCATGAGTACGTGTACTTGGTAGGATCAAAGGTGGTTTCGTTTTCGTCCGCCGGCATGGAACGTTGCACGAGAAACCCCCCCCAGTTTTATTATTTTTTGCACTCTGGACGTTCGGAGGTTTCTCCAGATCCTGAAACGAAGGCGAATTGAACGTGAACCGCGGGGGGTGTCCGCGATGAATCGTGGTTGGCGTTGATTGCAGTACGTGTAGTCTGGTTTGGCTCGATATACGTAGTGTATTCAAGAGTACAGCAAGCAGTAGAGATGCCACTGGGCGAGAGGTAGATGCGGCACGCAAACGGTCGCGATGCCTGAGATTCATTGTATGGTAGGTACCAGGAGAAGCCGGCGGCACCATATAGTTGCTGTCATCACTTTCGTTCTGCACAGTTTTATTGTGTTGAGTGTAAATTAATTATGGAAGCACGCGGCTTGTTTAGAAATTCTACGTTTTCATTCTGTAGCCTGGTCGGCTCGGGTGTTCCTAGGCGAACGACTAGTTAGTGTACATAACAGTGCGACGTTTCTGCCCTTTTTTGACGATTTTGCGTAGACTACATCGTACGGGACGTATTGTACGGGACGAGATCCAGAGAAAGCGGGGGCGGGGGAGGGGGATATGACTCGGCAGTACGCTCTTCCGCGCTTCTGCGAACCTAAGAAGACAAGTCTGGTAAACAATTTTCTGAATGAGGGGGGGGGGTGCAAGGGGGGCGATGTAAACGGACATCAAAAGTGCTCGGTTGAGGGTCCAAGCACTTACAATCGTAGTGTTTGCTACTACTGCGGTCAGTCGACAACGCTCCAAACCAAGTGGTCTTTCGCAGGGTATAAATATAGGTTATTCGGTGGATGACCCTTTGCTTTGCGCACATTATTCCCCTTGAAGCGGAGATCTCCCTCACTACTTTGGGTGCTCCATATTAAACTGCTGTATGCATAGGGTGGCCGTCTTCCATTCCAGGCTTTTCATGCGCTTGGTTGGGTGTACTTCGCGTATCATGACATGTTTGCAATGAACAACACAAAGACTCCCGCATGACTGCAAGAAGCTACAAGACTGGAAGGGGTAACGTATTGACCGCGCTCTTGGTTATTAAAATTTCACACGCTGTGGACAGATCTCAGTGCGATGCCCGACAAAGAACCAACTGTCGTTCGAATGCATAGAGTTTGGTGGATTTTTGGCCGTGATTCGTTGTCCTTCTTCAACAGTGCCTGTAAAGAAAACGGAGAGAAAAATGTGTAACAATCAAACCGTGCATGGTCACCGAAGAGCAGAGACGTTGACATTCCAATTCATTGGCCTTCCTCAAATGATTTCCCCCCAACATTCACTCGGTTTGGGCCGTTTTGTGTCGGAGGCAGGCTACAGAGTGTCGGGAGACATGTGACAAGCCATAGATGATTGATGAGCCCCGAAAAAACCCTCATTGACACGTACATGCCTCAGAGAGAAATTTGTGTGAATCAAGCACGGTGCGAAAACTCCCCTGTTCGGTGTGCGTACACTGTTTTAGCTGCCTTAAGGAGACGGAAAGGAGGTGAGGATATGAAGATCGTGCTCCAGGACCGTTAGGTTTTGTCTGCGTGCCCCCTTGCAGGTGGGGTGGGACGGGCGCAAGGGGCACGCCTTGTTCATGGTCATGCATGATGGATGTGTCTTGACAGCAGTATAGTCACGAATCGCAACGTTGCTTATACAGCGCGCAGGTTTCCCTCTCTAGTTACCATCCGCCTCTAACCCCTCGCCAATGCGGGCTTACGTGCCGAAGTGCATCAAGATGGCGCACCGTCGCTCCGCACTTGACGCCTCACGGTTCGCGCTCGGTGGATCCGGAAGATTACGGTCACTCCAACTCATCCTCCAGCGAAAAAGCACCAACGTTCGGCCGTGTTACCCTACGACCACTTTCGCGGCGACTACGGGGATCTCTCAAGGTTCCGTGATGTCAAGGGGCGACTGTAATGAATAACCGCCAGGAGGAAGGTCTCACATGGGTAGCTTCGGCTGTCAGCGGTGGCGGCATGACATTTTTTCCGAAGGTGGGTGAGTGAGAAGAATTAGCTCCCACAACGACACGATTCATCATGATTTCGCTGACACCTACTGCTGTACTCTGTTGCGCCTACGACGGCCCGTAGACGAAGCGTGGTACCAAAGGGTACCTTCGATGACTTTTCGAGTAAAGGAGTCGATGAAATGCTTCATTTGTCACCCAACTTCTCTCGGAGACGCCAAAGTTCCGGTAAAGCTTGGGTGTTCATTTGTGGACTCGTGTTGTTCATGAACTCAAAATCTGAATGGGCCTCATCAGGATTTGATTTCTCGTCCAGGTGTTGCTTGTGGCGTGCTTACTCTCTCTCCCACCACCACCAGTCAACATAATGAATGACTATAGCAAACAAGGCGTGTTCAAGATACGCCTAGACCCTGCTGCTGACGATGTACACCTTGATCTGCACTATCGATCGCAGAAACTCGGAACAACACGAAATATTTCCTTCCGAGGTTCGTGACTACAAGAAGGTCGACAGACGTTCAACACATAGAGCAGCGAATCATCAGGCACGTCAAGACGATTCACGCTGAGGTTCGAGCTGCTGTTGCTAGACACGAAGCTGCCAAGCACGATCATCTACACATGGAGCTGCTGTCGCGACGTCGCGACGAACTAACGGTCTGGAGGAGAACCATTTTTCTCGGATCAAGCGTCGAAGCGGAACTTCGAGCAAAAGAAAACCGTACGAAACGCAACTAAAACGAGCGGCGGGATTAAATGGTTGCAGACCAACCTGTTCGCTGTGGTCTCGTAGATACCTCTCGCATGAATTGAGATTGACAACGGTACGGCATCAGCCGGGGCGTAACCCAGGACGGCGAAAAAAACCCGAGTTCCCTCTTTGGCCCACCCGAATCCTCTTGAAACCCGTCTTTTCCGCAGCAAAGAAGAGAGCCAGGCACCTTGGGGTGTGCGCATCACTGGATGCAGCTAATCGTCGGAGCTTCGTTCATCATCGGCGTTTCCGCACTGAGCGGAGGAAAGCTTCCGAGTCCGGCGCGCTGGCCGCCGCGCACGCTGCACATCAGGAGCAAGGGGCATGTAACAATGGCGACGAGCTTACCCCAGGTACGATCACAGACACAAGATCGGCTCTCGTGTGCCTGCTCACGCGAGGTATACCCTGTGTGTCTGCTCACGCTCACGCATGGCCTGAATTTGTTCCGGTTGTTTGCCCCGAGTCAAAACACGTAAGGCCAAGTGTGTGTGGATCTTGCTCCCACCAAAACGTAAG